ACCCTAAACCCGAAGACCCCAAACCCTAAGAGCCTCAGCCCCTAAGATCCTAGGAGCCTAAGCCCCAAACCCTGGGCATCTCCTCTGCAGGGCACAGGCACTGTCTTTGGAAAGGGCTTAAGGCTGCTCTAGGAAGATTTGGGGGACAGGTGCATTGACCATGACCTTCTGCTGTAGCTATTGGGATCTAGTGGACACTTTTTGGGGGGATTCTTTTCGTCCAGGCCTGGAAAGCCAACTTTTTCTTTCAAGCGAATGCCACCTCAGAGTAGTGAAAGAACCTTAAATTCCAAGTACTGACCTCCTAATCCCGGGACCCTCATCCCTAAGCCCCCAAATCTCCAAGTCTATAAGAACTTAAATTTTCCAACTCTAGCCCTACCCACACACACCACTCCGCCCTGAATCCTCACCACTGGGTTGAAGTAGCCCAGCATTTTGGCTAGCAGGACAACCCTGAGTCATAGGTCCCCCTGCTACCTCTCTCCCTCCTGCCCCCTTGAACTGGGGTCTAGGGTTTAGGGTTTAGGGCTTAGGGAGAATTAGCCTTAATTAAGTTTAGTGAAGGGTGGAAGAGGGACCCATGATAACCCATAGCATAGGACCACCTCTGACTACATCTCCTTTCGTGCGCGCTGGTGACCAGGCTGCAGATGCTTTTGGGGTCAGGGTTTTAAGGGTGTGGGGGAGGGGGGGGCTGCGCTCCCTATAAAACCCCTATATTACCTTTGTATAATAATAGAATAGTTTCCTTTGTCTTTTCCATTATCCATATATAGCCCCTATATTACCCCTACAGTGTATAGTAGTTTCCATATTCTTTTCCGTTGTCCCTATTTATGCCCTACATTATCCCGATGCCATGTTCTGTCACCGACCAAACGCAAGAGAAGGCCTCGAAGAACACTTTTGCGGCCAGGTTTCTTTGTACGCTCCATTTGAGCTGGAGTCTAAACTCCTTAAAGGGGGTTATATAATGTGGGGTTTAGGGGTTAGGGTTTAGGGTCTAAACTCCTTGAAGGCGGTTAGATAGGGGATTCTATAGGGGAGTATTATAGGGGTTATTAAGGGGGAGACAAGGGGTTAAGACTATAGACTATAGCTCATTTGGAAGCCAAGCCCTCAATCTCAACCCCAAACCCTAAACCTTAAACCCCAAACCCTAAACCCTATAAACCCTAAACCCTAAACCCTATAAACCCTAAGCCCTAAACCCTATCATATACCCAAAGCCATATATAATCTACGTAAGGGGGCGCCCAAAACCCGGAACCCTGAAGTCCCAACGCATGGACCCTAAACTCCTAAAAATCTTAATTAAAAGGGTTCAGGGGTTAAAGGGGTTTAGGGGTTTAGGGTTTAGGATTTAGGGTTTAGGATTTAGGGTTTTAGGGGTTTTAGGGGTTTGGGGTTTAGGGTTAAGGGTTAAGGGTTTAAGCCCTACCCCCAAAAACGCTCAACCCTATGCCCCCCGTCTCAAGCCTGAACCTTAAAACGCAAACTCGAACTCAATCCTGGAACCTAAAACCCTTAACGTGAAAATCCTGGAGCCCTTAAGCCCTCAATGTTAGAGCTCCTAAAGCGCTTGAATCTCAGGGGCAAGTATGCACACACAGCCTGCTTTGGGGGCCACAAGGGACCTTAAGCCCCGAACCGTCTCTAAAGATTAGGTTTCAGCGCTAAGCCTTTAGCCTTTGGAGGTTCCATAAGGGATACGTACGGGGTAATGTAGACCCCCGATTAACAACCTCCTTCCTTTTAAGGGCCTTAACAGTAGGATCCCCATTATAACCCCTATTCAGGGGAGGGGGTTTACTAATCACGGGTCTGGGGTATAGGCTCAGTAATCGAGCTGAGGTTGGACTATACCAAACTCCTAGCAGAGTGGACCGGGAAATCCGGCAAGGATCGCAAGGAGGCTGGACCTTACCCAAAACATTGTTTACGTAGTTGTTCTTGACTGGCTATTCTGCACGCTATGAGGAGGCTGAACCTTTGCAGGGTGGTCAAGAGGGACATGGCGTCAGACAAAAATCTACGGAGCTTTGAGCGTCAGCGGCCTAGAGGGGCTTTAAGCATTGAAGCAAACTTTGGCGTAAATGCTGAATTCTAAGCCTAGGTCTCTGAACTCCGAGTGCCGAACCCAGCATGTGTTTGAGGCTTGCATCGCTACCTCCCAGCCCCGAAGCGCAAGTTCACAAGATCTTGAATTCTTAGCCCTCAGCCCGCAACCCTCCGCCACTGAGGCAAAGCCTGAAACCCTAAATCCTAAACATGGTTGCTTTTGAGATTTTTCCATAGGATGCTATTAGCCATGTGTCCTCGTTATTCATGATAACCCTAAACCCCATATAGCATATGTACCTTGTCCTGTACCCTATGTACACTATATGCCCTATATACCCATGTTATGGTAACTTACTTTAAGTTCCTTATCAATGCTTGAAGAGGAGGCCGGTTCCCTGTTCCGGCACGGCAGCCACGCAAGCGTGGCCTACGAGCCCTTGGACGTCCAAGACATCCTCCGCATCGAAAGGTGTGAAGGCCGCCAAAAATGTCTTCTGGGATCGAAGGTCCACGTGTGTGTCTAATATGCCTTTACATGTGTATGTATATGTATATATATATATATTTGTATATATATATACATATATATGTATATATACATATATGCACATACAAATACATATGTGTGCAAAGGTTTGAGGGTTGCAGGGTCAGGGTTCACGGTTGGCTTTGGGGCATTAAGGCTTTCGAGATAATGCCTTAAACCCTAAACCCTAAACCCTTAAACCCCAAACCCAAAACCAATTAGGCATAGGCTTTGATTGAGCTCGCAGCTGGAATCCCCGCATGCCTACAGCTGAGTCGTCTTAACCCCTCCGGTAGCCCCTTTAGACCCTATCTATTCCACTAAACCCTAAACGCCTAAACCCTAAATCCTAAACCCCAAACCCTAAACCCCTAAATCCCCTAAACCCTAAATCCTAAACCCCTAAACCCTTGTTTAGGCAATGGTTTTAGAGATGCCAAAAGTTTGTTAACCTCCTGTGCTTGGCAAAAGGATTTAGAGTTTAGGCTTTAGGGTTTAGAGCTATAATGTAAACCCGTGATTAATGAACCCGCTTAGGGATATGTTGGGTTTATATTGGGATAATGGAAAAGGAAATGGAAACTACTATTTACGGTTTAGGGTTTAGGGTTGTAGACCGGTGATTAACAAACCCCCTCTTTTGAAGGGTCTTAATATTAGGATGCCTGTCATAATCCGTACTAAGGGGAGGTGGTTTATTAATCAGAGGGCTACATTACCTTCAATTCCTAGACCCTAAACCCAGAAGATTGGACATAAACTCAGGTACCCAACAAAAGGGGTAGGGTATTGGGATCTTTTAGGCTTAAGGGTTTAGGGCTTTGAGCTTAGGGTTTACGGTTAGGGTAAAGCCCCGGGATCCTCATAGCAGTCCTTATCTCATCCCCAAGAATGGTCCCTATAACCCAGTCCCCCCTTCCGCAA